TGTTCATTATTAATGAGATGGAGCAGATGAGGAAGGACAAGGTTTCAGTTTAAAAGTGTTGGGTTTGAGGCCAGGCACAGTGGCTCACGCCTGTAATCCCAGCACTTTGGGAGGCCAAGGTGGGCAGACCACCTGAGGTCAGGAGTTCAAGACCAGCCTGGTCAATATGGTGAAACCCTGTCTCTACTAAAAATACAAAAATTAGCTGGGCATGGTGATGGGCACCTGTAATCCCAGCTACTCAGGAGACTGAGGCAGGAGAATTGCTTGAACCCAGGAGGTGGGTTGCAGTGAGCTGAGATTGTGCCACTGCACTCCAGTGAGACAGAGGGAGACTGTCTCGGGGAAAGAAAAAAAAAAAAAGCGTTGGGCTTGAGATGTTGCCAACATCCAGGGGAAAGCCTGAGTTGACAGTTGAATATACGAGTTCAGGAGACAGCTCTGGGCTGTCTATATTTGGGGGTAGTCGGCATATGGGTAGTGACTAAAGCCACAGGCCCGGACAAAATCTGGTGAGTGTAGACAGAAGGTCAAGGACTAAACCCTGACATCAAGGACAAAGAACTGAGGAGGAACCAGGCCAAGGAGACTAAACAGGAACAACCAGTGAAACAGGAGGAAAATCAAGAGGCATGCTGTGCTAGAATCCAAGGGAAGGAAGGAGAAAAGCATCAACAATGCCACAGGTTGCTTATAGATCAGAGAAGATGAGGACTGAGAATTAGCAATGTGGAATAGTGGCCTTGCCAGGAGCAGTTCTGCTGGAATGAAGAAGAGAGCCTGAACTGGAGCGGGTAAGAGAAAATGGAAGGACAGAAACGGAGCCAGTGAGTAACAGCTTCCTCTCCGGGGTTTTGCTGCAAAAAGGAAGAGAGAAATGGGCAGTAATAACTGGTGGAAGAAATAGGAGAAACAGGCCGAGCATGGTGCCTCATGTCTGTAATCTCAACACTTGGGGAAGCCGAGGTAGGAGGATTACTTGAGCCCAGGTGTTCGAAAGCAGCCTGGGAAACATACAGAGATCCTATCTCTACAAAAAATAAAAATAAGCCCGGTGTGGTGGTGCATGCCTGTGGTCCCAGCTACTCAGGAGGCTGAGGTGTGAGGATCGCCTGAGTCTGGGAAGTGGAAGCTACTGTGAGTCATGATTGTGCCACTGTACTCCAAGCTGAGAGTGACAGAGCAAGACTGTCTCAAAAAAAAAAAAAAAAAAAAAAAAGCACAGAAAGAAAAAGAAAAAAGAAATAGGAGAAACAACAGCATGTTTCTATGTTAATGGAAATGATCCATTAGAGGTAAAATTATAATGTGGGAGAGAGATTTGATGAAGCCATCTTTTCTGGGTTTTTGTTTTGATTTTTTGAGGCAGGGACTTACTGTCTCCCAGGCTGGAGTGCAGTGGAGCGAACATGGCTCACTGCAGTCTTGACCTCCGGGTTAAAGCAATCCTTCTGCCTCAGCTTCTGGAGTAGCTGGGACTACAGTTATCACCACACCCCGGTTTTTTATTTTATGTAGAGATGAGATCTCACTATGTTGCCCAGACTGGTCTCGAACTCCTAGGCTCAAGTGATCTTCCCACCTGGCCTCACAAAATGCTGGGATTACAGCTGTGAGCCACCAGACCCAACCAAGCCATCTTCTTGAGTTGATGAGACTGAGATTTGATGCACAAATGGAGGGATTTATTCTAGACAGAAACATGCGTAGTCCAAAGACACTGGTTCTCAAACTCTAGGGAGAACGTGTTAAAGCACAGATGCAAGATTTCTGATTCAGGAGTTGGGGCCCAATAACTTGCGTTTCTGACAAGTTCTCCAATGGTGCTGATGCTGCTGGCCAAGACCAGGCTTTACGAGATACTGATCCGTAACAGGTGGGAAGGCAGCATCTGTGAGGGGGGTAGATGTAATGGAGTCTGTGATGTTTTGTTCTGATTGCTTCCATTTTCCTGTTTAGTTGAACTGAAAGTAAAGACGGGAGAGGAAGTGTTGGAGACCGGAGGAAAGGGAGAAGGTATGAAATGGTTCTCTTGAGAGGAGAATGAATCAATGGGGGAAAAGCTGATTTTCCTGCTGAGGCTGATGCTTGTGAATTAAAAATGAGACACCAGTTGAATGATTTTCTCCAGCCACTCTAAGCTGCACAGGTGCAGGTGGGTGGAGAGTTGGATGTAAATGGGGTTGTGGTTGTCGATTAAATTTGATGAAGCAAGAGAAAGGGGCCAGGGAGTTGATGGTGAATACCAATTAGGAAGGGGGATTATGGTAAACCATGGAATTGAAGCTAAGAGATATACGAAGCATGGTGAGGGAGAATGAAATTCACTTTTCTTAAAAGTGGGTGCTTTCTTCTTAAAGCCTTACCCAACTTGCCTTTATCTCTCACCTCTCTGGACTTCTGTTAGCTGGCTCTTCCCTCCAGCCTCATACCCATGTTTCTTTATAGCACTCATCACAATCTCACAAATGTTTCCCTCTAAGGCAGGAGCTTTTTGATACCTGCTGTGGCCCCAGTGCTCCTCCATACTGTCCTCCTTATCCAATCCTGGTCAACTTACTCTTCAAGCACATATCCAGGACACATCCTGTAGGTCCGCATCAAAATGCCTTGATCTGGAATAACATCCATCTAAAAACTGAGTGCCTAACTTGTCAACTGAGCGGCTTCAGGAAAGCAGAAATCTAGAAAAGTTTGGGTTCCAATGCTAAAGAGCAAGATGAGAAGGATGGGCTTCTGCCAAGTTGCGATTGCTGTCTGAGACCCGGGTCCTTGGGCACCCCTCACCTCAGGATCCCAAAAGGCTGGCCATTTGAGGTTGTCACAGAAGCTCTGGATCCTTCTTTAGCAAACCAGTGAACTTACAGAATCACAACTTGAGAGGGGTTGGGGAACCCTGAAGATGGTTTGGTATTATTTCTTTTTTTTTTTTTTTAATTGTGTAGACATGTGCATATTTAGGAACAGAAACATGCTACATATACTGATTTTACTTTTTGAGACAGGGTCTTACTCTGTCACCCAGGCTGGAGTGCAGTGGCACAATCACGGCTCACTGCAGCCTTGACCTTCCCAGGCTCAGGTGATTCTCCCATCTCACCCTCCCCAGTAGCTGGGACTACAAGTGTGCGCCACCACACCTGGATGATTTTTGTATTTTTAGTAGAGATGGGGTTTCGCCATGTTGGCCGGGCTGGTCTCAAACTCCTGACCTCAAGTAATCCGCCAGCCTTAGCCTCCCAAAGTGCTGGGATTACAAGCATGAGCCACTGTGCCTGGTCCATATACTGATTTTACATGTCATAAAGCAAGTGTTTTTTTTTTTTAAAGGTTTATAAGGATAGATAGCGAAATGTTATACCAAAGTTTTCGTTGTTGTTTGAGATGGAATCTCGCTGTCATAGGCTGTCTGTGCCATCCATCACGAGCTGTGTGATATTGGGCAGGTCGGAGAATTGCTCTGTGCATGCATTTTCTCATCCGAAAAAGGAAATTGCCTCTGAAGCCACTTGATGGTATGAGTTTTACAGGGATTTAAATTAACATTTTGAAACAGAGTTTCACTCAGTCACCCAGGCTGATGTGCAGTAGTGTGATCTCAGCTCACTGCAACGTCTGCCTCCCGGGTTCAAGCGATTCTCCTGCCTCAGCCTCCTGAGTAGCTGGGATTACAAGCGCGCGTCACCACGCCCGGCTAATTTTTTGTATTTTTAGTAGAGATGGGGTTAGCCAGGATGGTCTCGATCTCCTGACCTTGTGATCAGCCTGCCTCGGCCTCCCAAAGCGTTGGGATTACAGGCGTGGGCCACCGTGCCCGGCCTGTATACACTTTTTATTCTGCATGTGTAACTGTCTGAACTGTGTTGTCTGTTTGTTTTAAATTAGAAAAGCACTACTGGGGCCGGGCGCCGTGGGTCACGCCTGTAATCCCAGCATTTTGGGAGGTGGAGGTGGACGGATCACCTGAGGTCAGGAGTTAGAGACCAGCCTTACCAACAAGGTGAAACGCTGTCTTGACTAAAAACACAAAAATTGGCCAGGCATGGTGACGGGCTCCTATAATCCCAGCTACTCAGGAGGCTGAGGCAGGAGAATCGCTTCAACCCTGGAGGCAGAGGTTGCAGTGAGCCAAGATCGTGCCACTGCACTCCAGCCTGGGCGACAGAGTGAGAGATTCCATCTCAAAAAAAAAAAAAAAAAAAAAAAAAAAAAAAAAAAAGCACTACTAACGTCAACTTAAATCCCTGTAAAACTCATACCATCAAGGAGCTTCAGAGGCAATTTCCTTTTTCGGACGAGAAAATGTGTGCATAGAGCAATTCTCCGACCTGCCCAACATCACACAGCTCGTGAAGGAAGGCGCAGACAGCCTATGAGAGAGAGCTGAGCTGTGGAGGAGGATGAAGAGGCGAAGGGCTCCTGTGGTTTCCACTGAGATAAAGAAACACTAGGGAAACCGACCAGGCGCGGTGGCTCAAGCCTGTAATCCCAGCACTTTGGGAGGCCGAGACGGGCGGATCACGAGGTCAGGAGATCGAGACCATCCTGGCTCACATGGTGAAACCCCCCGTCTCTACTAAAAAAATACAAACAACTAGCCGGGCGAGGTGGCGGGCGCCTGTAGTCCCAGCTACTCGGGAGGCCGAGGCAGGAGAATGGCGTAAACCCGGGAGGCGGAGCTTGCAGTGAGCTGAGATCCGGCCACAGCACTCCAGCCTGGGTGACAGAGCGAGACTCTGTCTCAAAAAAAAAAAAAGAAAAGAAAAGAAAAGAAAAACGCCAATATAGAGAGGGGCAGTTTTCTGGGTAGCTCTGCTCTTATAGAGCTCGCCAAACTGTAATTGGTATATTCCTTAAATAGGATTTTGAGAAAACAAGAATCTTCATTTATTTCTCTTTTCTCCAATACCCAACAATAGTAGCGACAGGATCTCACAAAATACTGTGAGATAGGTTGACTAACACATGGAAACAACAGATGAGTACACTCACACGCATACCTGGAGAGGGCAGCAAAACTGGGAATTTCCTCGGGGAGCTGCCCTTCAGAGGCACCTCCACATTTTCGAGTACATGAACCCACGGTCCGCAGGTGGGCTAACAGCTTTCCAACCTTTACCCAGCCTCATGTCTGAGCATTATTGAAGAGGCTGAAGAAAGCAACAAGCTACACATGACACGAATGTCATCTGTCCGGTTAGCAGGGTAGTGTGAAACCCCATTTCCCTCTCAGACGAACCAGCTCACCTAGGCAGGTGAGACTGGGCGCTTCCGCGCAGGCGCAAAAGCAAGGGCGGACACCACCTTGAGCCGTGGCTCCATGAGGTGGCACAGCCGCTGTCAGGAAGAAAGCGTACAAAAACCAGGCTGCGACGGGGTGGGGAAGCGTGGAGGGAACCTGACTACAGCCGGGCAGAGGCCAGCCCTCCTCCGTCCGCAGGCACGGCGCACGCGCCGTCCAGCCGCCAAGCCCGGCCCCCGCAGGCGGAGCTCCAGAGCCTGTCCCAGAAACCCCGAGCCAAGGGCCCTAAAGGGCGTGAGACCTTCTGCAATTCCCTCCACTCACCGAAGACAGCTGGCTTACACCACAGCACGTCAGCTTCCCACGTGCAAACCCAGCAGCTGTAATTAAACATCACAGTTCCAAAGGCTTCTCTGTAGTAAGGAGGTGCACCCGCTGCCCAGAAACCACTAGCGATGAGCGATGCTCATGACAAAGTGGCATTGCTTCCCAAGGCAGAAAAAGCTGATTACAAGTGGACTTATCAGATCTGAATCCTAGAGACACCTTTACCTCCGCTCTCATTTTCAGAACATTCATGACACGCAGGCCACAAGTCACCTTTCAAATAAAGGTCAAAACAAGTGGTAACATTCAAGTGCTACTACGTTAGCTCCATAATGAAAAACGGAAACTTAATTTTGTTACATATTTTGAGATGGAGTTTCACTCTTGTCGCCCAGGCTGGACTGCAATGGCGCGATCTCTGCTCACTGCAACCTCCTCCACCTCCTAGGTGCAAGCAATTCTCCTGCTTCAGCCTCCCGAGTAGCTGGGATTACAGGTGTGCATCACCACACCCAGTTAATTTTTGTATTATTAGTAGAGACGGGGTTTCACTATATCGTCCAGGCTGGTCTCGAACTTCTGGCCTCAGGTGATCCACCCGCCTTGGCCTCCCAAAGTATTGGGATTACAGGCGTGAGCCACTGCGCCCGACCAAAGACTTTATTACAAGACCATTTACTTTCTCACTGGTAGAGAAACCTCCAAGCCTCTAAAATTGCTTGGGAGGTGTGGGAACCAGGACTTCAAACACTCCAGGGAGGACTTGTAACGTTTTGGGTCTTTATTTACAAGGCTACACAGAGACATTGTGGAAGGATGCAAACCCACGAGCACTGAGCCATACCCTAGCTGAAGTATTGTCAAGTGGAAGCCCTCTCTGTAATTCCAGAGGATTCATTCACATGTAGCGTTTTAAAAGGTGAGGACAAAATAAAGTGGTTGTTTTGATTAGTCTCAATAATTCTCCACTTACACTGGTAACAAATCCCAGTTTAATAATCCATTGCAATTTGAAGAACTGCCCTTAAAAAAGCTCAATAGGGCCGGGCACGGTGTCTCACGCCTGTAATCCCAGCACTTTGGGAAGTCGAAGCAGGTGGTTAACAAGGTCAGGAGTTCGAGAACAGCATGGCCAACAAGGTGAAACCCCATCTCTACTAAAACTACAAAAATCAGCCAGGCACGGTGGCAGGCATCTGTAATCCCAGCTGCTCGGGAAGCTAAGGCAGGATAATCGCTTGAATCCGGGCGACAGATTGCAGTGAGCTGAGACTGCACCACTGCACTCCAGCCTGGGCAACAGAGTGAGACTCTGTATCTCAAACAAACAAAAAAACGAAAAACAAAATACCACCTCGATAATTTTGAAACATTCTCCAATAAAAGAAACCAGAATTCCTTGGAAAAAATGGAATTGGGGCAGGGAAAATACAAGATTCCCTGGGAACATCTTACAGTACCAGAAGGGCAGACACCAGAAAATTTTTCTGAGACAAGGCCTTGCTGTTAGGCTGGAGTGCAGTTGCGTGATCACAGCTCACTGCAGCCTCAAACGCCCCTGATCAAGTCATCCTCCCACTTCAGCCTCCCCAGTAGATGGGACTACAGGAACAAACCACACCTGGCTAATTTACTTTCTGTGGAGACCAGGTCTCAATATGTTGCACAGGCTGGTCTCAAATTCCTGAGTTCAAGGAATCCTCCCACCTCAACTTCCCAAAGTGCTGGGGTTACAGGCATGAGCCACAAAGCCAGACCAGCAAAAATACTGACAGAATGTCAAGAAAACAAAGGAGCCAATTTTAAGGAGCTCCTGATGGCCAAAGCTGAGACAATTTGAGCAAAAGTGAATCCATACTGATATAACTGAATACAGAGAAGGGACACCTCCTTACAACAGAGTTCTAATTAATAAATGTAGAAGGAATAGAAATCGTGAAGCAACATTTGGCAAATGCCACAGGAATACTTGTTGCATGCAGTAACAATCCATAGCTGCCCAAAGTTAGTGGGTCAAAGAATGGTAGTTTCAGCCGGGTGCCTTGGCTCATGCCTGTAATCCTAGCACTTTGGGAGGCTGAGGCAGGAGGACAATTTGAAACCAGCCTGGCAAACATAGCAAGACCTCATCCCTATTTAAAAATAAAATAAGCCAAGCATGGAGGCACATGCCTGCAGTCCCAGATACCAGGAAGGATTGCTTGAAGCCGGAAGGTTGAGGCTGCAGTGAGGCATAATTGTGCCACTGCACTCCAGCCTGGGCAACAGAGCAAGACTGTCTCCAAAAAGAAAAAAAGTTTCCAACTATACCTGATTCCCTAAGTTACATATTAAGTACAAAGGAGGAAATTAATAACTTTCCAGTGGAGAAGTCTGGCAGCACTGTAACCAAGTGATCACGGTTAACATCACCAGTATGAAATCACGTCACAATCATGTATTCTGATACAATGCACTGAAAAAGGCACGGTGCTTTTGTGGCATTCTTGTCAAAGAATAACCTCAATCTAATAATGAGAAATGATCAGATAAATCCAACTGGAAGGGCATTGTATAAAATAACTGGCCAGTACTCACCAAAACTATCAAAAAATGAAGACTGAAAAACTGTCACAGGCTAGAAGAGACTAAAGACAATTAAGTGCAATGTGGGATCCTGATTAGATGCTGAACCCCAAAAAAAGACAGTGTAACAACTGGCACAACTCAAATTAGTTAACAGTACTGCATCAATATTTGCTAGTCTTGATAATTTTACTATGGTTATTTAAGATGTTAACATTTGGGAAAAGCTGAGTGAAGGGTATGGTAACTCTCCATACTGTTTGTGTAAGTCTAAAATTATTTCAGAATGTTTTATATAATGGAACACACTAAGAGAAGATAACCAATCAAATACAGCTAAAATAAAATTGAGGGAAAGCGAAATTTATTTTCAGAGGATGGAGTGCAGTGGCGTGATCTCAGCTCACTGCAACCTCTGCCTCACAGGTTCCAGCAATTCTCCTGCCTCAGCCTCCTGAGTAGCTGGGATTACAGGTGCACATCACCACACCCAGCTAACTTTTGTATATTTAGTAGAGACGGGGTTCACCATGTTGGCCAAGCTAGTCTCAAACCCCTGACCTCAGGTGATCCACCTGCTTCGGTCTCCCAAAGTGCTGGGATTACAGACGTGAATCACCGTGCCCAGCCTGAGGCTGGTGCCAGGCACAGTGGCTCACGCCTGTAATCCTAGCACTTTGGGAGGCTGAGGCAGGTGGATCGCTTGAGGTCAGGAGTTCCAGACCAGCTTAGCCAACATGGTGAAACCCTGTCTCTATTAAAAATACTGGCAAAGTTGTCTTTAACAATAAGAAAACTGGTTTAGTTGCATTTTGGAGTCTTTAGTAAAGAACAGTCTAATTTTTTATACTACAGGAAAAGCCAATGTGGTTTTTCTAAAATACACAAATCCAAAAGGGAAGGCTAAGTATATAACCTTGTTAGGGGCTCCAAATTCTTTTCAGTTTTTTTTTTTTTTTTTGAGACGGAGTCTCGCTGTGTCTCCCAGGCTGGAGTGCAGTGGCGTGATCTTGGCTCACTGCAAGCTCCGCCTCCCAGGTTCATTCTCCTGCCTCAGCCTCCCAAGTAGCTGGGACTACAGGTACCCGCCACCATGCCCGGCTTATTTTTTTGTATTTTTAGTAGAGACGGGGTTTCGCCGTGTTAGCCAGGATGGTCTCGATTTCCTGACCTCGTGATCCGCCTGCCTTGGCCTCCTAAAGTGCTGGGATTACAGGCGTGAGCCACCGCCCCCGGCCTCAGTCTACTCTTAAAGCTGAAACAGTACTTTCTACATTTGCTATGAAAGACTGGGAACTACTATGTTGCTAACATTTCAAATTGCAAATAATCATCTCAAATAATCTCATATCCAACTTGAAATACTATGCAGGAAAATCTAGTTAAAATTCCTTTTCAATTTGCTTTTCTCTGGATTTTTTCCCTTTTCAAGGTCAATACTACAGAAGCCCGAGGGAGTCCTCTAGAAGTCACAGAAGTTTGGGCTGAAAGTGAAAACGATGAGTGCCACACATATTACTAGGAAATCTAGCACCTTCCTACTGATAAAAACACAAGGAACTCCCCAAAATTCGGGGTAAAACTGCTTCAAAAAGGATGGCAGCCAGAAATATTTAGGAATATTGTACTGTGCCTCTGACAGGCCAAGAAAAGCTTTTGACTGCAAATGTCAACAATGGTGCTATTGGCTGGGCACGGTGGCTCATGCCTGTATTCCCAGCACTTTGGGAGGCCAAGGTGGGCAGATCACCTGAGGTTGGGTGTTGGAGACCAGCCTGGCCAACACGGTGAAACCCCGTCTCTACTAGAAGTACAAAAATTATCTGGATGTAGTGGTGCACACCTGTAATCCCAGCTACTCGGGAGTCTGCGGCAGGACAATCGCTTGAACCTGGGAGGTGGAGGTTGCAGTGAGTCGAGAGCGCACCACTGCAATCCAGCCAGGGAGAGTGAGACTGCGTGTCGAAAAAAGAAAAGAAAAGAGGGGAAGAGAATAAAAGAGGGGAAGAAGAGGGAGAGAGAGGGGAGAGAAGGAAAGAAAGGAGGAAAAGGAAAGAGGAAAAAAGGAAGTAAGGAAAAAAGGGAAGGAAGGGAGGGAGGGAGGGGAAGGAAAGAAAGGAAGGGCCGGGCGTGGTGGCTCAGGCCGGGCGCAGTGGCTCAAGCCTGTAATCCCAGCACTTTGGGAGGCCGAGACGGGCGGATCATGAGGTCAGGAGATCGAGACTATCCTTGTTAATACGGTGAAACCCCGTCTCTACTAAAAAATACAAAAAACTAGCCAGGTGAGGTGGCGGGCGCCTGTAGTCCCAGCTACTCGGGAGACTGAGGCAGGAGAATGGTGTAAACCCGGGAGTCAGAGCTTGCAGTGAGCTGAGATCCGGCCACTGCACTCCAGCCTGGGCGACAGAGCGAGACTCCGTCTCAAAAAAAAAAAAAAAAAAGGAAGGAAGGGGGGGAAGGGGGAGAGGGGGGAGAGGAAGGAGAGGAAGGAGACAAAGGAGAGGAAGGAAGGAAAATTTTTTTTTTTTTTTTTTTTTGAGACGGAGTCTCGCTGTGTCTCCCAGGCTGGAGTGCAGTGGCGTGATCTCGGCTCACTGCAAGCTCCGCCTCCCGGGTTCACGCCATTCTCCCGCCTCAGCCTCCCAAGTAGCTGAGACTACAGGCCCCGCCACCACGCCCGGCTAGTTTTTTGTATTTTTAGTAGAGACGGGATTTCACCATGTTAGCCAGGATAGTTCTCGATCTCCTCACCTCGTGATCCACCCGCCTCGGCCTCCCAAAGTGCTGGGATTACAGGCTTGAGCCACCGCGCCCGGCCGGAAGGAATTTAGAAACCAGTATTTAACAATTTTATTGGCACTCCTGACTTTACTATCCTGGGCTGTGTAGAACTCAGTAATTTTGAGGGCACAACTCTGTCCAACAGTATTAAAATCCATTTCTATAATCCTTTCTTAGTATTTAGATGTTTTCACACATGCAACTCTAAAATGGAAACTTTTTTTTTTTTTTTTTGAGACAGAGTCTTGCTGTGTCACCAGGCTGGAGTGCTGTGGTGCAATCTTGGCTCACTGTAACCTCCACCTCCTGGGTTCAAGCGATTCTCCTGCCTCAGCCTCCAAAGTAGCTGGGATTACAAGCATGCACCACCATCCCCCAGCTAATTTTTGTAGAGAGAGGGTTTCACCATGTCGGCCAGGCTGGTCTCAAATTCCTGACCTTAAGTAATCCACCTGCCTCAGCCTCCCAAAGTCCTGAGATTACAGGCATGAGCCACTGTGCCCAGCCTAAAATGGGAACATCTTAAGAGGTAACAATCTTTTAAGATAGAGAAGCCTCTAAAACTGTTGAAAATATAAAGAAGAAATTAAATGCTATTACAGTTGTTACAAGGTTCCCAAAGACCCAAGCCCACAGAAATTTTATTGTCAGGGATCTGCATCCATATGGAATATTGTCTAAAACCATATTTCAAATTGAACACTTATTTCCTGGGCTCTACTTCCTCTGCATCAAAGATAACTGGCCAAATTCCACAGAGTTAAGCATAGTGTCAGGCACCCAACAGTCTATTATTTGTTGAACAAATGATTTAGCAATGACTCTACATTCTCTGCAAAGTATCTAGAAATAAAGCATTATGAATATTGGCCCACCTTGCTTTTGCAGAGGTCCTAGTTAACCGGCCCTGAATACAAAGCAAGCCTGAAGTGTTTACTCTCAGCACAAACGCTCTAAAATTAGTTGCCATCTCACCTGTTATACCTTATACTCCAAATATTTCATAAAATACAGCAGACTCAAATAATACTAAATGGTACTAGAAGTGATGCTCAACAGGATCTCACGTTTATTGAGAAGTGATTAATGGTAAAAAGAAAGGCAATGCCCTTTCCTCATTGGCTGAACAAGAAACTGAAGAAACATTCACTACACGTTTTACAGTATTTTTCTCTTCCAAAATGCATTTCTGTAAACGAGTTTTTACCACTGTTCTTAGCTTTGAAATCAAATTAATCCTGACTTAATCAGTATAATGTACAAGAACAGAACATTTCTTAGGACTCCTAGTACTTTACTTTGAGTAACAAAAGGTCAGAGAAAATGAACCACCCTTAAAGACACAACCTTGGGTAACACTGTTATATTCTCCCGGACAAAAATTCTTCATAAAAATGTTCTTCCAGTTCGGAAGGGTAAAATCAAATTCCCACTTTCTGGGGTGGATGCCCAAAACCTTCACAACTCAAGTGTTCTCCAAGTGCAAATGTCAAAATGGGAGGAGGAAAGGGTTTAAAAATTAGAGAAAACTGTATGCACTTACGGACTTAAAAATCCGAAAAACATAGTAAAAAGACAAAAAAACAAAGCATTATGCTCTGAAATCACAACCAAAGCCAAAATAAAAGGGACATTTTTCACCTAAACTACCTAGAGGGATTTTTTGTTTAGTTTTTTCTTTTTCTTTTTTTTTTTTTTTTTTCATTTTCCAGTTAAGTCCTATGTCTTTTGTGAAATTCCAATACTTAAACTGCAAGTCTGCAATCGTCTCTGAAGTCAGTGAAATTAAGAAAAAAGTCCTAATTCTCTTGAAGGTCATTTTTTCCTCTTAGGATATGCAGATGCAACCGTTGCTGCAGTCTGTGTAGAACTGCCTTTTATTTCCCACGACCTTGACGTTCCTACAGAGGTAAGAAAAAAGGTGAAATGGTTAAAAATTATCTGAACATGCTTGCTTATGAATTTAAAAACTTCACAGAGTAACAACAGAAATTTAATTATTTAGAATTATTAGAAAATTAATTATTCTAAGTAGAACATTCCCCACAAAGAAAAACTGGCTTTTACTTTGTTTTAAACACTTCAACATCTTAATGCAAAATTATTTTTGACTTGAAAATTCAGGCCGGGCGTGGTGGCTCAAGCCTGTAATCCTAGCACTTTGGGAGGCCGAGACGGGCGGATCACGAGGTCAGGAGATCGAGACCATCCTGGCTAAAACGGTGAAACCCCGTCTCTACTAAAAAATACAAAAAAACTAGCCGGGTGAGGCGGCGGGCGCCTGTAGTCCCAGCTACTCGGGAGGCTGAGGCGGGAGAATGGCGTGAACCCGGGAGGCGGAGCTTGCAGTGAGCTGAGATCCGGCCACTGCGCTCCAGCCTGGGGGACAGAGCAAGACTCCGTCTCAAAAAAAAAAAAAAAAAAAGAAAATTCATTACATGCTTTCCTATTAAATTACTGTTTAGATTAATACTTAGTTGTCAGGCCCCCCAAAAATATGGGCCTGATGGAAGTAACCCAAACATACATGACTGGTCAGATAAAGCAGTATACATACATACATAGTACACTAGAGTGTTAAGAGTCAGACTGACCTAAATTCAAATCCCAAACTAGTCCCAAGGCCTTGGACATACTCATAAGCCCTCAATTTCCTTTTCTGTAAAGTGAAGATAAGTATCTCACAGGGTTATGGAGAATTAATAAGCTGACATACAGAAAGCCCTTGGTCCACAGATGGAAAAAAAAAAAAAAACCCCACACATTTGGCCTCTTTCCCTAGGGAGGTGGTAATCCAACTACAATACTTATGTTTTCCCTGAAATAAATCCCAATGCTCATTTTCTTAAGAATCACTGTTTATGGCTGGGCGTGGTGGCTCAAGCCTGTAATCCCAGCACTTTGGGAGGCCGAGACGGGTGGATCACGAGGTCAGGAGATCGAGACCATCCTGGCTAACACGGTGAAACCCCGTCTCTACTAAAAAATACAAAAAACTAGCCAGGCGTGGTGGCGGGCACCTGTAGTCCCAGCTACTTGGGAGGCTGAGGCAGGAGAATGGCGTAAACCCGGGAGGCGGAGCTTGCAGTGAGCCCGTCTCTACTAAAAAATACAAAAAACTAGCCAGGCGTGGTGGCGGGCGCCTGTAGTCCCAGCTACTTGGGAGGCTGAGGCAGGAGAATGGCGTAAACCCGGGAGGCGGAGCTTGCAGTGAGCTGAGATCCGGCCACTGCACTCCAGCCTGGGCAACAGAAAAAAAAAAAAGATACTAACTATGGGCCAGGCGCGGTGGCTCAAGCCTGTAATCCCAGCACTTTGGGAGGCCAAGGCGGGAGGATCACGAGGTCAGGACATCGAGACCATCCTGGCTAACACGGTGAAACCCCATCTCTACCAAAAATACAAAAAAATTAGCCGGGTGTGGTGGCGGGCACCTGTAGTCCCAGCTACTTGGGAGGCTGAGGCAGGAGAATGGCATGAACCCGGGAGGCGGAGCTTGCAGTGAGCCAAGATCGCGCCACTGCACTCTAGCCTGGGTGACAGAGCAAGACTCTGCCTCCAAAAAAAAAAAAAAGATATTAACTATGAATTAGGAAACTACAAATCCAGACAGATCTGGTCTGTGGCTTAAATAACCAGAAATAATGTCCACACCTCTATCCACCCATCTACGTTAGCCCCTCCTCACTTTAAATCTATGATTACAAAATAGAAAACTCGGTCGGTGCAGTGGCTCACGCCTGTAATCCCAGCATTTTGGGAGGCCGAGGCAGGTGGATCACCTGAGGTTAGTAGCTCAAGACAGGCCTGGCCAACATTGTGAAACCCCATCTCTACTAAAAACACAAAAATTAGGGGAGCATGGTGGCACACGCCTGTAGTCCCAGCTACTCGGGAGGCTAAGGCAGGAGAATCAATCACTTGAACCCAGGTGAGCCAAGATCGTGCCACTGCACTCACACCTGGCCAGCAGAGCTAGACTGTCTCAAAAATAAAAAAGAAAAATAAAATAAAATAGAAAATTCAGTCTCTGGAGGAAATATACAAAGAGCCATAAGGTGGCAATGTTAAAGTCTGCACATATACAATCTCTTCATATAATATACATAATATAGTAAATCTGCCTATTTGCCTTTCCTGTATTTAAGCTTAATAACCTTTCTACTTACTACTGCACTGTTCTATCCCTCCCTCTCCCTTCACTTTTAAGTGGGCCATAAAACACAACTAAGGCATATTCATATTTACTTGGATATAATTTTATTAACATTAAAATCTGGTAAATGTTTATCCCTCCCACAAAATTAAATCTATAGAGCTCTCAACTAGTTTTTCCTATGCCCCCATGAACCTTGAAAGAAACCCAAAGTTCAGCACCCCAGCTGATAATATAAAATGCTTAGACAGAGTCTCACTCTGTTGCCCAGGCTGGAGTGCAGTGGTGCGATCTCCGCTCACTGCAAGCTCCGCCTCCCCGGTTCACACCATTCTCCTGCCTCAGCCTCCTGAGTAGCTGGGACTACAGGTACCCGCCATCACACCCGGCTAATTTTTTGTATTTTTAGTACAGTCGGGGTTTCACCATGTTAGCCAGGATGGTCTCGATCTCCTGACCTCATGATCCGCCCGCCTCGGCCTCCCAAAGTGCTGGGATTACAGGCGTGAGCCACTGTGCCGGCTAGGAAAATGTATTTTTAAAAGTGATACGATTACACAAAAATTACTTCCATTGCTTGATAAGGTTTAATAGAATCAATCTTTATAGTCTCCAATGCCATAAGTTAAATAAATCCAATGGCAGAAACATCAAGTTATATATAATTAAGATGCTAACTTCCCCAGGTAAAGAGACAAAGTATTTTTCATCAGTTCTCCAATTTAAAGCAGAATTGTAATATTTCATTCAAAATATCTATTTTGGCTATGGTACCTCCTGCCTACAAGCCCAGCACTTTGGGAGGCTGGGAACAGTAGTTTCAGACCAGCCTGGGCAAAATACTGAGAACGTGACTCTACTAGAATTTGAGACAGAGTTTTGCTCTTGTTGCCTAGAGTGCAATGGCGCAATCTCGGCTCAACGCAACCTCCGCCTTCCATGTTCAAGCGATTCTCCTGCCTCAGCCTCCTGAGAAGCTGTGATTACATGCATGTGCCACCACACCCGGCTAATTTTGTATTTTTAGTAGAGACGGGGTTTCTCCATGTTGGTCAGGCTGGTCTTGAACTCCCGACCTCAGGTGATCCACCTGCCTTGGCCTCCCTAAGTACTGCGATTACAGGCATTAAGCCACCACGCCCGGCCAGAAATTTTTAAAAATTAGGCCGGGCATGGTGGCTCACACCTAGAATCCTAACACCGAGAGGCCAAAGGAGGAGGATTGCTTAAGCCCAGGAATTCAAGAACAGCCTGGGCAACACAGTGAAACCTTATCTCCACAAAAAAAAAATTTTTTTTTTTTTTTGAGACGGAGTCTCACTCTGTCGCCCAGGCGCCCAGGCTGGAGTGCAGTGGCCGGATCTCAGCTCACTGCAAGCATTGCCTCCCGGGTTTACGCCATTCTCCTGCCTCAGCCTCCTGAGTAGCTGGGACTACAGACACCCGCCACCTCGGTCTTGATCTGCTGACCTTGTGATCTGCCCGTCTCAGTCTCCCAAAGTGCTGGGATTACAGGCTTGAGCCACCGCGCCCGATTAAAAAAAATTTTTTTAATTAGCCAGGCATAGTGGCGAGCACCCGTGTGGTCCCAGCTACTCAGAAGGCTGCAAGAAAAAGAATGCTTTTAAGCCCAGGAGGTCAAAGCTGCAATGAGTTGTGATCACACCACTACACTCCAGCCTGGGTGACACAGTGAGGCCTTCTCTCAAAAAAAAAAAAAAATATATATATATAGAGAGAGAGATAGATAGCTAGATAGATAGATAGATAGATAGGCCGGACGCGGTGGCTCACGCCTGTAATCCTAACACTTTGGGAGGCCGAGACGGGCAGATCACGAGGTCAAGAGATCGAGACCATCCTGGCCAACATGGTGAAACCCCATCTCTGCTAAAAATACAAAAATTAGCCAGGCATGGTGGCGCGCACCTGTAGCCCCAGCTACTCGGGAGCCTGAGGCAGGAGAATTGCTTGAATCCAGGAAGTGGAGGCTGCAGTGAGCCGAGATCATGCCACTGCACTCCAGCGTGCCCACAGAGTGAGACTCCGTCTCAAAAAAAAACAATACACACACACACACACACACACACACTCATGCACGATATAATGACATTTCAGTCAATGACGGATCAGTAAGACTACAATGGAGCTGAGAAATTCCCATCACCTAGCAATGTCGAAGCCACTCTAAGGATGTAGCACAAAACATTACTCACTTGTTTGTGGTAATGCTACTGTAAACAAACCTACTGCACTGCAAGTCGTATAAAACTATAGCACGTAAAATTATGTATAATAAATAATACTTAATAACAAACTCGGCCAAGTGTGGTGGCTCACACCTGTAATTCCAGCACTTTGGGAGGCCAAGGCAGGTGGATCACCTGAGGTCAGGAGTTTGAGACCAGCCTGGCCAGCATGGTGAAACCACGTCTCTACAATAAGTACAAAAATCAGCTGGGTGTAGTGGCACTGCCTGTAGTCCCAGCTACTTGGGAGGCTGATGCAGGAGAATTCGCTTGAACCTGGGAGGTGGAGGCTGCAGTAAGCCAAGATCACACCACTGCACTCCAGCCTGGGCGACAGAGCAAGACTCCATCTCACAAAAAAAAAACCTATGTTATTGGCATATATATTTACTATATAACTATACTTTTAATCATTGTTTTAGAATGTACTACTTATTAAAAGGCTAATTGTAAAATAGCCTCTGACAGGTCCTTCAGGAGGTATTCCAGAAGAAGG